CAAACCTAGGGACCACTTTTACAAGGGTTGGAAAAAAGTGTGTTTTCGGATCTATGTTGGCATACTTTTTTGGTTCCATTGTGTTTGTCTCTATTTTGGTTCCTGAAAGTTGCCAGTGCCCTATGTATTTAAGGCATCTATAATGATGTTATCACGACTTATGCCTTCGGGTTCTATAGTATTCAAGGAAAATAAATCAATTGTTAAAATAGTATAGATAATGGGGATATTGAAAAGGACATCAAACGATGCCCCTGCTCGTGGACCATGATTTTTAGGGGCCGCTGGGAGTTGAATTAGCCATAAATAATGCCCTCAGAGTACCTGTAACTGAACTGCCATTCCCTATACTACTGACCTGCATCAAATCAGTCTTTTAAGACTTCCTCCCCCATCAAGCTGACTCATTGTCATAAAACTAAAATGTGTTCAAAGCGGTGTTAAAACCAACTCACTCACTCCAGTACCTAACATAGCCTAAACAGGGCAATGAACACTATAAGTTGTTCACTGGTCATGAGGGGGACATGGGTTGGGGCACCCTCTATGCTTGTTTATGTTCCCTGAGTCCGAGTGTCTGGGTCATCTATTCCCCCTTTATGTAGTGGAAGTGCTCACAGAGTCATATGCAATTTCTTCATTGTGAAATGTCTTTTTGAAACATAGAGGGTACATCAACCCATGTCCCCTCGTGACCAGTGAACAACATATTTATCTTACTGAACAACTCAATGTTAGTTTTGAACTGTTTGAAGCATGGGTATTGGATCACAATAAGGAGTACAGTTAGGCAGCAGGTCAAAGACTACTAACACAAAGTACCAAACGAATTCCCACAGTTTGGCGTAACAGAAAATGTTACTCACTTGTAAGCGGGGTACATTGATTGGATCAGCCAATCAGAAAACGACATTTAAGTGTAAGGTAAGATACATAAAACATGTACATCCTTAGAAAATCAAGAATAACTCTTTTCATACATACTATACCTTTATGCGGATGACCATGGCATTTTTCTCCACATGGCTGCTGATGAGCTCCAGGGAGCAGCCGAAGAAGTTGCACATGGTCCACAGGAGGAGATACTTCTGCTGGCCATGCCACACGTAGATGTAGAGGAAGCACATCATGGACGCCAGGAGACGCATCAGCATCCCTGCTTGAGACCCACCCAGAGGGATGTAGATGTAGCTGAAGAGATCAGTTACAGGTTACAAAGCCTGCTAGAACTCCAGAACTTGGATGCTTTCCTTGAAAGATTCATGTTCAAGTTTCCAATATATGGAAGAATTATGAATTGAGGAATGAAGAAGGCGAATCTGAGTCATCGTCTGCAATGTCCTACTTAACGTCTATACAATTGCTGAATCTTAGAGAAATCAGATCTAAGTTTTCACTACAGATAAAGACCTTGGAACATCCAGATCAAGGTGAAATCAGTAAAGCCTGTCATCCAAAGAATCAGAGCATCGCTGACTGGTCAGTGTTAATTTCTTGTAAATCATTTTGCTGGTTGGTCAAAGTTCATGAAAGGTCTTTCTGATGTGAGCTATAATGTCAAGCCCTAAGATCTGGTTTTCATTTGATTGATGCAATTAAATGAAGGGGACACGCTTATTCCTTTGATATTATTGGCACCTTCATTAGTGTAACTGTGAAATACTTACTTTCTTAGGAATGTGTATAAACCTCTGTCAAAATATCTGTAATGAAAGACAGTTCACTAACGACAGAACACATCCAAATACGCATTCATTGACAGTTCAAAGTCAAATCTGAACAGCACTGATACACAAACCCTTTCCCCACGGTGGCTACCTGTTACGGAGATTTACACAAGAGACGCAGTAAATTGGGTTTAGAATTCCGTGTACATTGTTTCAGTGAAATTCAGTGAAGTAAGGCAAAAATTGACATTGGTTGAAAATGTTTACCCCTTTTTAAATCCACAAAAGTGGGTAAAGAGTCAAGATCAGCAGATCCTGGGACCCCTAAGGTATGTCCCTTAGATCATTTGGCTATCAGGGCAAGTAGGAGAAAATGTAAACAGTGAGTGAGTGGGTTTAGTTTTACAATGCTTTTAGAATTCCGGCAATATATATGTGGGGAATCAAACCCGGGTCTTCGGCGTGATGAGCGAATGCTTTTTACCACTAGGCTACCTCGCTGCCCAATAAAGTAAATATGCCACTGTTATGTTAGGGATGCTGTTAGGTTTACGCACCGAAATGACTCTAATAAAATCTCAAATGTATATTTGTAATTACACGATGTGCCTCAAATTTGAGTTGGATTGATAAAACAAAAGAACAAATCTGTTAAAGCACATTTGAAGACAAATCCATTTTAAGTTAGTGTGTGTCACTTACTTCCACATGTCGGAGTAGCGGTATATGTATGATACACACTTGGGTTCCTTGGGTGCATCAACGTCATCAAGTTTGGCAACCTGGCTTGGAAGTCCGTACAGGACGAGGTAATTGACCATGAAGTACTGCCCTTTGATGTAGCCAACGCCGACCCCACAACGACACCTGCTCCATCACTGCCGGTGACCGCAGCAAAGCAGCATGGTACAGAAAGTGGTGAGACAACTCGATGAACGCCGACCAGAAAAACACCCTTAGGAAGTTACTCAAGGTCTGGAATATCCTGTTTGTGTTCCAGCATGAAGGTGGACAAGAGATCTGAAAGTGACTTGTCATTATTTATTTCAAATATACGCTTTTCATTAGTTCAATAACTTCCCATAACAGCAGTCAGAAACTAGTATCGTTATCCTGACATTACCTTGACACTTAACATTACTTCATTCTGATTGGCCCGCCATAGGTATCAAATCTATGTTACACCCTGTTCTTGCCTGTTGACCATTTCAGATAAAATTTATATTTCATACTTTTCCTGTCTCATGCTATATGCTCATCTCCCACCTTCTCTTGATTAATTAAAAGAAGTATATCTGCTAGATTTCGTGGATTTTAGACAACTAGTATGCCTGGATGACTAGTTATCTGGACTCAAATGTTAAGGAAGAACATTACCAGAACTGAGTCTATATAACTCATGTGCTGATTAATCTCATACGACAGTGAAACATGGACTTCTACGTCTACAAGTCAACGTGACAAGGGTTAGTTTTTCATCATCTGGTAGGAATCGTGAATTGTTGCACTACTACAAGGAGCCCGAACTGATGGATACCAGATACGTAGTGATATCCCTCAGATAATGATTGGCAAACACTGTGTCTGATTTCAAGAAGCAATTCCCATGTAGGGCGAGTGTCGAGGCTAATGCCCTAACTTCGTGTGGGTTGAGTGCTGTGGAAGGGTCTAACCCTGCTGCTCTGTAAGGTCGTAAGATTACAGCTCTAGTCCAAATCAATCGCGTGTATCTCTGACATCCGTGCCGCTGTAGACAGTGCAAGGACAAATAGCGTCTTTTGTGTTGACAAATCGAAGGCAGTCTTTCTCAGTGGATCGTAAACGTTGCTGGTCAAATGTTGCAGCACCACGTTGAGATCTCAGGCTGGCATCCCCATGAAATTGCTAGTTCGTTGAGAGCCCAGGCTTGAGGATCCGGTACTGGTGAGATGTACGTCGCAACTTTTTGATTGAAGCGTGTGGCAAATAGATCTATGAAAGGACTGTCAGTAGTTGGAATGCCTCTTCATGTAACATCCACTCTGTGGGTGATGGATGGAACGGTCTGGATAGGGTCGGCTAAGATGTTCTTGCTCCTGGCATGTGGCAGGCCTTCATCAATAGGTCTACTAAGTTGAAGAGCTGGAACGTTACTTCTAGTAACGGCGCTGATCTTGTTGAGCCTTGAAGATTTATGTAAAAGGCTACTGTCGAGATGTCTGTGTGGATCATGAGGAACTGGTTCCTTAACAGGTGTACCCAATGTTGAACTGCCTTTATAACCGCCTTGAATTCAAACTGGTTTATGTGTAAGGCTCTTTTCCAGCGACCAAGTCCCCGATGTGGTCTCCTCATTGCAATGCGCTCCCCATCCCTGTAGAGATGCATCCACAAAGAGAAGAAGATTGTATGCCGGCTCTTGCAAATAAGTTCCGTCGCATACATTCGACTTGTTTGTCCACCATAACAGGTACATCTTCAGGTGCTGGGGTATGGGGATCTTCTGGAGACTGTAGAGATGAGGCTTGAGGATGCATTGTAGTGCTCGTAGATGTAATCTTCCTCTGCACGTGACAGCCTGTGCGGGCAGAGGAAATTCGAAAGGGGAGAACTTTCCACTGATAGTGCTGCCCTTCGTACAGGAATCGATGTTATTTCCTCGATGCTGGATGTATAGGGATGTGCTGGTAAGTGTCTTGCAGATCTATGCTGGCTAGATAGTCGTTGGGTTTGCAGTGAATAATCTGGCTGGTTGCACCTCAACTGAGCTCTCACATATTGTTCGATTTCATGAGAAAAAGACAAGCTTCAAAGCACATATATGGCAGAGTTGTGTATGAAGATGTTGTGATCACATTGGTGAAAAACAGTGTTTCGAAATATCAACTTTTAGGTAGTTTATTTGTGAAAAAACACACAAAGTTTACAGGCATGACTGGATTTGTGCTATTAACTCAGTCCAAGCTGATTGATCAGTACACACACAGTGTATTGTTCAAGTCAGGCCCAAGCAGCCATCACTGATTGGAGAACAATAGCCATACCTGGATCATCAAGCCTACAGATTATTTCTCAATGGAGCACTTTCTTAGACTGTGTTTGTGTCTACTTTTCATGACATTAATAACATATTTTCCATCACTATGTTTATCTCTCAACAAAGGTAGATCAAATAAAGTTTCAGCAGAAACTTTCCACACTCTGACGAGCCTGAACATCTGCAGTGTGAAGAAAACACGCCGGGGTCGGAGAAGCGCAGAGAAGAATAACAGATGTGTGAACGGGAAAGATAAGATTTTCTCAAACTCTCAAACTTCTAGTATCGCCAGTACTTACAAAACACATGACTTTAATATGTGTTTGATAAATGCCAGATCTGCAAAAACTACCGACCCAACCAATGACAAGGCCATCGCACTCAGAAATCTGGTGCTGGACAACAAACTGGATATTTTAGCAATTACAGAGACATGGCTACGCGATGATGATTCTGATAATCTCGCAGTTGGTAAACTCACCCCTCCGGGGTACAAGTTTGTTCAAGTATCAAGGAAACACAAGCGTGGAGGCGGCGTTGGTATCGTCTACAATGATAAACTTGTTGGTCGCAAACTGAAAGCTGCCAATCTCCATACATGTACTTCATTTGAACTTATACCATTACAATTTACATGTGACAACCAATGTTTCAACATCATTGTGTTGTACAGACCGCCAAAACCTGGTACTTTCTTTGATGACTTTAGTGCACTTCTTGATTCTCTGACGACAACACCCGGTAAGCTCTTAATATGTGGGGACTTTAATTACCACATTGACAAGACAAATGACAGAGATGCACAGAAGCTGCTCAATATTCTGGAAGCTCATGGCCTAACTCAAGTCATACATGAGCCAACTCACGTTCAGGGACATATTCTAGACCTGGTGATTGTGCGTGAGAATGAACTGAAGGTCAGTAACGTAAGATTTGATCATTCTGTAAGATCTGATCACTACAGTGTCTTGTTCAATGTCAACATCTCAGTTGAAAGACGAACCAGAAAGAAAATCTCATTTCGCAAGTGGAAGGACATTGATCTTCAAGAGTTTCAGCTAGATATGACAACAGCTATTTCTAGCTCTTCAGATCTCACCGCCAGTGAATATGTTACTCTGTATGACACTCAGCTCAGGAAACTTGCTGACCATCATGCTCCATTGAAGTCCTGTACTGTAACTCTTCATCCAGAATCACCCTGGTATAATGACGACATTCGATCAGCTAAACGCTTGAGGCGTAAACTCGAGAAACAGTTTAGACACACCAAGTTAGCCATTCATAAGCAGATGCATGACAACCAGAGACATCATGTTGACTCTCTTATGGAGACAGCCAAGTCAAGCTATTACAAAGCTGCACTGCAGGATGTGGATGGACAGAAGGACGTGTTCAGGATAGCTAACAGGCTTCTGTTTAAGGATAATTCCCTGACTCTGCCATCTCATTCATCCCTTGATCAATTAGTTGACAAGTTCTCAGACTTCTTTTCTCAGAAGATTTCCACAATCAGAGACTCACTTTCACATGATGACCTTCCACACAGTGAGCCCCAACCAATAGCTGCATTTCCATGCCTATCCCATTTCCGACCAGCAACAGAAGCAGAGATTGTGAAACTTGTTTCTAAGTCACCGACGAAGTCATGTATTCTTGACCCTATACCTACATGGCTTCTCAAGAACTCTCTAGATACCTTTGCCCCTATATTGACCTCTGTTGTCAATAAATCTCTTCAGGAAGGTATGATGCCGGATACATTGAAAAATGGAGTTGTAACTCCACTCCTGAAAAAGAAAGGTTTAGATCAAGAGCTTTTAAAAAATTATCGGCCAGTCACAAATTTACCATTCACCTCAAAATTGATTGAGCGTGTGGTCACAACAAGACTCAAGGAACACATGACCTTAAATGGGTGTTTCGAAGTCATGCAATCAGCATACCGGAATTTCCACTCCACGGAAACCGCACTCGTTAAAGTGCACAATGACATACTGAGAGCCGTAGACAAAGATGGTGCTGCAGTATTGGTTCTACTTGATTTGAGTAGTGCCTTCGATACTATCGACCATACTATTCTGATGCATACACTTGAGACCAGGATGGGTATTAGAGGAACTGCTCTTCAGTGGTTTGAGTCCTACATAGCAGGTAGACATCAGTCGGTGATCATTGATGGTCACATCTCCAGTCCTAAGGATCTTGCTTATGGCGTGCCTCAGGGATCGGTTCTTGGACCTCTACTTTTCACTATTTATACTTCTCCTCTAGGTGATATCGTCAGATCCTTCAACCTTGGACTGCATTTATATGCTGACGACACTCAAATTTACATATCATTCAAACCCTTACTTTCCTCATCAGCTGTGTCTTCATTTCTCACCATTGAAGAGTGTGTTAGCTGCATCAAAATCTGGATGTCGTCACACTACCTCAAACTGAATGATGATAAAACTGAACTCATAGTTTTCCACCCTAAGCGTCTCCAACCCAGTATCTCTCTTCCTAAATTCAGCATCGGTCAGTGTGAGATTCAGCCAAACCATGAGGTGCGAAACTTGGGAGTTATTTTTGATTCTTCACTGTCCATGGAGCCACACATCAATAACATCTGTAGAAGGGCGTACTACCACATTCGCAACATCGGCATGATTCGACGATACCTGGACGTCAAGACTACAGCATCTCTTGTTCAGGCATATGTAACATCTCGTCTTGACTACTGTAATGCGCTTCTTGCTGGCCTCCCAAACAATCTTATACACAAGCTTCAGAAGGTGCAGAATACTGCAGCCAGAGTGGTCTCTCTGTCAAAGAAATCGGACCACATTACTCCTGTTCTTCACTCACTTCATTGGCTTCCCGTCCACTACCGCATAAAATATAAAACTCTACTCCTTGTTTTTAAAAGTTTACATGGTCTAGCTCCTCAGTACCTCTGTGATCTGTTCCACCGTTATACTGCTGTACGTTCTCTCCGATCAAATGACCAGTGTCTTTTGACAATTCCTGTGACTAGGACAAAACATATGGTGACAGGTCACTTGAGACGGCTGGCCCTCATCTCTGGAACAATCTTCCATCTCACCTCAGAACACAACCAGATTTAGCTGTTTTAAATCAAATCTGAAGACATGTCTCTTTGGTGAAGCATTTGAACTATATGTGATATCTTGACCATCTTAGAGCCAGAGCGCCTTTGAGCGGATTACGGATATTGGCGCTATATAAGTATTTGGCCTCCGTCAGCTTGTATGTATGTATGTATGAAAGCCCTCCTAGTAGTAGTGTCAAGCTCAGTTAATTTGCGATGCTCAACTCTATAGCTGTGTGACTCGAGATCGCTAAGCAGAGCGAAATCTCTGGCAATTTCTGGTGCCTTTAGGAAAGGTTCCAAATTATGTAGAGGGAATTTCCGAGCGATAAACATTGGTGTATGCTGCCCTTGATTCTTGATTCTGATTCTTGGTAGCTTTCACGAACGCTGCTTTCAGATTCTCTGGGACTGGGATATCAGTTTGACCAGTTGGATGGTGACAGAGTGGCAATCATCATCCTGTATGCAGTATGTATCCGCTGGGTTGGAGTCCTGGGTAGGCGGATATAGGCAGACCATCGGCAATCCAGGATAGTATCTCCGCATCGTTGTAGATAAAGGAGTCTAAATCCTCTTGTACCTTTCTTCTACTACCGGGGCTACCTCAGGTGTAGGGTTCGTGAACCCTGTAGATGGGCGTTTGGCGGCAGTTGATGCTCAGTAGTTAATCATCGTTCCATGGCCTGGATAACCTTGCTTGTAATATCGTCCACGAATTCATCTGGGTTGAAGGCTTACATAGAGGAATGATGACGAGGTACCAACTCAAGGGGTTCACGAACCTGACAGGAGTGAGTGAGTGGGTGAGTTTAGTTTTACTCGCACTCAGCAATATTCCAGCTATATGGCGGCGGTCTGTAAAAAGTGATCAAAAACATGAGCATCGATCCTTGCAATTGGGAACCGATGATATGTGTCAACCAAGTCAGCGAGCCTGAGCACAGGATCCTGTTAGTCGCCTCTTACAACAAGCATAGTCGCCTTTTGTGGCAAGCATGGGTTGCTGAAGACCTCTTCTACTCTGGATCTTCACGGGTTCGAACCTGACTGGAAGGCATCGGTGACAGGGTAGCATTCGCGAACGCTAGCAGCTTGTCCATAATCTGCTGATGTTGATAACTATTAGTTGATTGCCTCTGAGGGTTCGCGAACTCTGTAGATATCAGCGTTGAAGCTGGCTGCCTGTTGATATGAGGGTTCACAAACCCTGATGAATTCGTAGGTGAACTGCGAGGTTTTGAGTGCATGGACATTGACAGAGGATCTAGTAAACCTCGAAGACGATCTAGATGAGTGTGTGGATTTCGACGAGGTAGGCTTCTTCGAATGTGATGACGTACACTTCTTCTTCCTACAAGACTGCGATTCTGACCCCTCCCTAAGAGTTGACTTCCTCTTAGAGAAAGACTGCGAAGCTACCTGAGTAGAAATGGGCGAGGCCACATTAAGTGGCTCTGATGCATTAATAGATCTATTAATAGATGGCATATTATGGCGTTTACCAACAGGTAATAAAGACAAGAAGTTGAACAACTCACGATTTGATGAGAACCAACCCTCCCAGCGTAGCTTTTGTTATCATGCTGTACCTTGTCTAACTTCTTGCGTAAACGGGACAACAAACATTTGTGAAATGAACTGTTGACAAATGTGTGCAATATATACAACATGAATATATGTGTGAACACGAAGCAGGCCTGCAAGATGAACAGACAGGGTGAGGGTCAGCCGCTGAAGTACACAGTCTGCATTGCTGACATGCAGACATACACAACCAGTTACATGAAATCGGAGTAAAATCAAAATTTAAATGAATATATACGTCGTATATATATTAGAATTCCGAAACATATAATTTACGTCATTGATTTAGATATGGGTCTAAATATAAAAGGATGTGAAGCCGCAAAAGGAACCCGAAGTAGCCTCCCAACCGTCCGCTTGGGCGATGAAGGAGAGAGTGATAAGAACATGGCAGTGTGCAGGTCATGTGGGACAATGGTGGGAAAGGGGAGGCAGCCCGATGGTGAGTGATTTTACGTTTGCTTCAGGCAGCAAAGGGATTCAAGTTTCCACCTGCCATTCAAAGGGAAAGGGACATAAACATATAGCATGAGTCAGGATAAGCAAAAATAAATGCATGTTTATGTATTAGGTCAGTTTGAATGAAAATCTGGATATAGAATCAACTTTAGAAAAATGCAAATTGAAAACATAGTAGATCAATCTGTGAAGTCAAAGCTATCATATTCAATACTGACATTTTTCCGTGATAAAAGGAATCTTTGCATACTTTCATGAAGCCATATGCTATCTACACATTTCAGCTTGTTTGATTTGTCTGCATGATTCATACCATGATCATAATTTGACAATCGTCCTTCCATGAACGACCAAGGATTATCAAGAACATGTTGGACACTGAAACAGGCTGGCTTACAGTTCTCCTTACCATCAGACATTTTTGGACTTTTAAAGACAGGATCTATTGTCACTCTGGATGCATGGTAAGCAGATCAATGTGCTGTAAAACAATGACTGTCATATTTTGGATCCTTATATAGATACATTTGCTTGAAATACTGGTAGACAGCTGCATCTTGTACCTTTAATTAATTATGTTGATTTCTCGTTACCTGACCTCTTACTCTCCTTTTCTTACCTGTACTTTGAACTGGTCGTACGTGAGGAGAGGTCCAGTGAAGAAGATTGGCAGATAGAAAATGTAGAGCAGCAGATCAGGAATTGAAAAGCAGTTATCTTCCTTTGGGTTCTGTCGATGAGAGTTATTTGCCCTTGCTTGCACATATTTGCTACGTTCCAGACAAAAGCCGGTGTATCGCAGAACAACCAGGGCCAAGACATAGATGAAGACGTAATATCCACTGTCGGTCGGATCCGATGGAATCGCACAAAAACTTTTCTGAAACGCATGGGAAGTAAAGGTTTAAATGTGTGTGAGTGAGTTGGGTTTTATGTCGATTGAACAGAATTCCAGTCATATCACAAGGTGTCAGATTGGTGTCCAAGTAATGCCCAAACGGATGTAGGTTGCAGACGTTTACACCTTTGGTTAAACCGAGCAGCATGATTATCTTACTAACAAATCTAGAAACTTCGTCAGACTGAACCAGGATTCGTATCCAAGTGTCTGGAAACCACAAGGAATGCCATTCTAGACAACTGAACCCTTCCCCTCTTATTTGTCAAAATGTGAAAATATTAGTTATTATGTTATTGTTAATACATGGACAACAAAATGAGAATAACTTAACAGCACATAACTTAATGACGGGAATAAATTGCATAAATGTGTGAAGTAAATGTTTTCGGTATACAAATTTCAGCATCTCAAGTCTCACTGTTTAGTGAGATGTGGGAAATGGAACATCTCAAGAAGTGCAGACAGATGAAGAACATATGGGAAGGATAGATAAGATGCATGAGATTTATAGGCAGGATGACTGATGGATGGATGTCATCGTATCCAAATTGCGTAGATCGATGCTCAAGCTGTTGATCACTAAATTGTCTGGTCCAGGCTCGAGGGACAGATTGAGGCATGGGATGGACAGATCAATAGACATAATGGATGTGTAATATGCCACTAAATATCCAGTCAGTACAAAATCAGATTGTAAAAAGCTAAACAAATTCCAAATTCAGTGAAAGGGCTTGGGACCACAATTTGCTAACTGCTTACCATCCAAGGAGTGAAGCTGTTGTAGTTGAGAGTAGACAGCAGCAGGAGACTAACGACCCACACCAGGGCGAAGCTGCCGACCGAGGACGCCAGGTAGCAGATACAGTGTGAGATGAAGAACAACGCCGTCCGGTAGCCCAGGAGATACGACACACTCACGAGGGAGTATGTCAGAAACACTGGCTTACGAAGCTGGAAATATAAACACAGATGAAGAACAACCCCGTCCGGTAGCCCAGGAGATACGACACACTCACGAGGGAGTATGTCAGAAACACTGGCTTACGAAGCTGGAAATATAAACACAGATGATGAACAACACCGTCCGGTAGCCCAGGAGATACGACACACTCACGAGGGAGTATGTCCACTGGCTTACCTAGAAATATAAACACAGATGAAGAACAACACCGTCTGGTAGCCCAGGAGATACGACACACTCACGAGGGAGTATGTCAGAAACACTGGCTTACGAAGCTGGAAATATAAACACAGATGAAGAACAACACCGTCCGGTAGCTCAGGAGATACGACACACTCACGAGGGAGTATGTCAGAAACACTGGCTTACGAAGCTGGAAATATAAACACAGATGAAGAACAACACCGTCTGGTAGCCGGAGATACGACGGTATGTCAGAAACACTGGCTTACGAAGCTAGAAATATAAACACAGATGAAGAACAACACCGTCTGGTAGCCCAGGAGATACGACACACTCACGAGGGAGTATGTCAGAAACACTGGCTTACGAAGCTGGAAATATAAACACAGATGAAGAACAACACCGTCCGGTAGCTCAGGAGATACGACACACTCACGAGGGAGTATGTCAGAAACACTGGCTTACGAAGCTAGAAATATAAACACAGATGAAGAACAACACCGTCTGGTAGCCCAGGAGATACGACACACTCACGAGGGAGTATGTCAGAAACACTGGCTTACGAAGCTGGAAATATAAACACAGATGAAGAACAACACCGTCCGGTAGCCCAGGAGATACGACACACTCACGAGGGAGTATGTCAGAAACACTGGCTTACGAAGCTGGAAATATAAACACAGATGAAGAACAACACCGTCCGGTAGCCCAGGAGATACGACACACTCACGAGGGAGTATGTCAGAAGCACTGGCTTACGAAGCTGGAATAAACAACGACAACAATAACGTCGCTGAGTAAGTAAGACACGCTCATGATTGAGTTTGTCATAAAAAGGTTCACGAGGCTGAAAATAAACAAGTCAGATTCATTTGTGATTTGGGATTGTTGAATATGCATTGCACCAAAGTTTGGCCTTTAGGCCTTATGGGGAATTTTCTCTTAGAAGACATTACAGGAAGGTAGGATATTGGTGATGTATATCGTCATGGTTTAGCTGAGATTCTGCATCAGTTACCTACATGGAAGAAGTAAGTGTCTACTGTCCGAGCTATGACCACATGACCAATTCCCCATGGCAGAATCTCCCAGAAGTAGCTGGACCAAAAGTTCCATTCAAAACTTGAAATATCCTGAAACAAAACATATCACTGAATATTTGTTAAACATCAGGAATTCATGAATAATTTGCCATAACAAAGAACTTCGCTCATAACAAAGATTAAGGATGAAGAAACTAACCTTCTTGTAAGGAAGAAAATTCCATCCATCCACAAAGTCCTCCTTGTTGAGATCAATGAAGAATTCTGAAACACAAACAGTAGACATGATAAAGATCCTATGATTTGTTATTGAAAATCCTGTTGCAATAACTTACATCTCTAAACAAAGTTTGTCCTCTGAATCCCGCTCTTAGTGACTGGTCATATATTACAAGGGATGGAGGAAAGTGAGATTGATCCCAGGACTGTAGCATACAGTTATTATACAGTTATCTACAGTTATAATGAACTAAAGGGACCACTAATTTTAGAATGCTATATAAAACCGTTGTTCATTATGCACATTGCAACTAAAATATGCATCTAGTGGCTGGGATCAAAACACAGTCTTTTATCTGTCAGTACATTAAAAGCTTGTGCATTATAAACATAGTTTAAAAGAATTGTACTTTTGGTAACCTTTCTTTAACCCTGATCCACAGGCCCTTGTGTCAGTTGTTTATTATATCTAGAACAATACATAGTGATCATGAGTGTAATCATCTTATTATATCTTTACACAGGCAAGTGCATGTTTGAGACTCAAACATTTATTGATTTAGAAATAAAGAAACAACACAAAGGCCTGGACCCTGACCCCCAATTACCTCTCTCTCTCAGACACTCAGACAGACAGACAGACACACACACAGACACACACACACAGACACACACACACACACACACACACACACACTTAACAGGACAAAGGCATTCAAATAAGACACTGCAGCATGAATTTCTGGCTTGTTCTTACTCTGGGACTCCTGGTGCACGACGTAGAAGGTGTAAATGATGCTGCCGACTCCAGTCACCCAGTAGAAGATGGACTCAGGGAGGGGTAGGCGGCCATGACACCTCTGGTGACTGGGTGAGGATGGGACAGGACGGAGACAGGAGGCGCCAGGCTTCGACCCTTTCATCTTTATCTCCCTGCCTAGTACACCATCAGCACACAATGTATCAATAATTTATTCTTCCAAAAATAATATACACATTATCCTCATCATTTGTATTGAAAGTCATTATAAGTGTATAAACTTTCCATTACTTCATTCATTTGTTAACAAACAACTAACAAAATTGTCAGTAATTCTATAAGCATCGTTCATATCCAGTACGTGCTTATCCATGCGAGAGTAACAGACAACCACAGCATGCATATTTCATGCTCAAGTCCTTAGATGATTGTGGGAAGATGACATGGGCTAGTCACATCAGGGCTCTACTCTTTCAATATGGATTTGGCTTTGTGTGGATAAGCCAGGACATTGGGGATACATAAACTTTTATATATAATTTTAAACAAAGATTAGAAGACTGTCTGACTCAGAACTGGCACTTATCTCTTTCAGAATCTTCATAAATGCAATTATTACTCTCAATACAAGTCACTACTAAATGTTTAAAAATATCTGCTTTCACCTGAAATACCACTATCATACTATAAAATAGCCATTGCAAGATTTAGATGCAACAACTTCAGACTAGCCATAGAAACTGGGTGACACTCCAATACCCCACGTGAAGAAAGACTGGGCACCTATTGTTATACTAATAATATATCTCTCATTGAGGATGAATATCATGTAATGATGGTTTGTGACAAGTACAGCCAAGAACGACAACTCTGCTTCCCTCAAAACAGCTATCCACCGACACTCAACAAGTTCATAAACCTGATGTCTACCGAAAACAAATCGGAAAATATCTCAGTAATGTCTTAAAGCAACAAAATTAACACCGCATTATTAATATTGTTCAATGTAACTGTTATTATGCATGCATAAATCTATACCCAAATTCCTATGTATGTTGTATGGGCCTGAGGCCTTAAAAATATTTTATAAATCTGTCTGTCTCTCTGTTTTATCTATACGGTATCGATCTTATCGCTATGCTGTTCCCTTGGAACCACTTTGATACTGAATTATCTTCAGACACAGCTACTCCCCCACTGCGTTTTTCCAATAGATTCCTGAAGCAAATCTGCACTGCACTTCACATGCAACGAGCCAGTATGAAAATCATAGCGGAACATCACAGAAGGACAGTTTCCCCAGCTCGCATTTTCTTTCAGATTGACTGGATGAACAATAATTCACATTTGGTTACCAGAAAATGTTTTGCAAAACATCGTACATGTGTATCGTGCTCTCGGTCATTTGATATCGACTTCTCATGATGCATTTCCAAGAGCTGTTGGGCGTGGCACTTCAGACAATCGCCAAATGTGGGCATGTATGAATATCCCCGGGTGCCAGTCAAGTCGCCCAGCTACAAAAAGCCCCAGCAAATTTGGTCACAATACCCCGGATGTTTGGTCAGATCGCCCCAGGTGTGGTCAAATTGTCCCAGTGGGTAGTCAAACTGCCCCAGTTTATTAAAAAGGGTTAAATATATGCCATAAATGTATAGTTTTTGTCAACTTCTATATTATATTCTGCATATAATATCATATAGTAATATTTCTGATAAATTTTCTATTAGTAAACTGATAAGAGCAAAAGTAATATTCATGTATAGACAACACTGCAATACATGTACCAATTATTTGCATGTTACTAATGTTTTTGTAAAGAAATACAAGACTAAAATTAAAAGTTTGTATACTATGTTTATTGGCCGCAAATGCATAGTTTTTGTTAGCAAGTATGGTATAATACTGATCAAAACAATCTAGAGCTTTTGTTAATTTTAAAGGTCACATGCAACGTAAAACACAACTTTGCAGATTCTGATACCTTTCGGTATGGACTTACCGAAACAAAGCGTCAAAAATGCAAATTCAACTTATAAAGTTGAAAAATAACGCGATGAAAAAAACCGCGCGAAATCGGAGTTCAAACGTTTCACTAATTTTCCCCGACTTTTCTTGGGAATACGGGTTTCAACAGCTGGGCTGCGCTCATAGCATGTGCGCAGTGAAATAGTTCGCGCAACTTGGAAGCGGGCTGTCTGGTGAATACTCGGTGAAGGCTTTGGTGTGAGCTATTTTCCTAATGTTTTGTTGATATCTCACAGGCGCGAGCTTTTTATATGTTATGACAGTAAATAAACTGTTTATATAATTTCATTTGTCTATTTCACCACACGTTCTTCTTACCGAGTCACTTTCTCAGTTCGATACTTAAAAGCAATGTCATTATTTAGCGTTGACACAATTTCTAACTGTGATATAGATATGTCGCTGTCACAGACAAAACTCAATGTCTTGTTTTATTGACACCTGTGTGTCTGCCTGCCTGTCTGCTAATGACAATATTCAATACACAACTGCGATCACTGACCACATGCAATTTGAACTTAACACCAATCAGGCTATACACCATAAACAAAACGCATTGATTTATGGCCCGAGTTCGGTCTCTGTCACATTATGTAATTACACAGACAGGCAGGTGTGATACTTGAACACATGACATGTTATGATGTCTGTTGATTGCAAAATGTTATATACAAAAAATGAGCATGTATTTACAAAACCCAACATCTCTATATATACACACACAATGAGCCGTGAAGGCGGCATCTGCTAATGAACCAGCCGTTACACTTGAGTGCACACCCACCCGCTCTGACTCGGGTTCGGTATCCCGGCTGCTTCGTTTCGAGGGAGGTAAACCCAAGTACAAAATATTGCACTTTTGATTTGCGATTATACGCTTATAATTTTGTTTATTTGTTTTTTCATAATCAGCAATGCATATTATATGTCATGAATAAGTGATAATTGTGTTTTAATTATGTTTGATTTTTCGGTTGCATGTGACTAAGCTTTAGAGCCCGTATCCACAAAGCGTTAGTAGCATTAGTTAATTCGTAAGCCAATAATTAAATAAGTTATGAAAGGGCGTAACGTTACAAACGCTTTGTTGATCGGAAACCAGGTCTACAACGAGAGTTTGTTTACCAGGGTCCCTTTCCTCAATGAGAGCGCTACGACAGTCGTAAGTCTATGTTAAAGTATGACAGTTATGCTCATCTTAGCGCTACGATCGTTTTGTGGAACGGGGCCCAGGGTGCCGATCAGCAAACCGTTCGTGGCATTAAGTCATTCATAAGCCTATGATAAACATTACAGTTACGACTGGTCGTACCGTTACGAACGCGTTATGGATCGGTTTTTATTCAGTTGTATGCCCTGACTGGCGTCCAACAATGCATCAGATGTGCACACCGTCGTCAGGGTAATGGACGTATTAAAAGATACGATTCTGGCAAATGGACGGAATTTTGAGCATCCCTTAGATATATCTATATGGGGAAGATGGATTCCTCCAATGATGCTGATCTGGAGTATCGAGTCACGACCTTGATAGAACTTGTGCTCGATTGAGGGAATGATGTGGAGGGAGTGAGGGAAAGACGGATAGGGAGTGAGGGGATGGCGGTGAGTGAGGACGGGAAGGAGTGAGGGGATGACGGGAGGGAAGGGAGTGAGGGGATGATGGGTAAGGAGTGAGGGGATGACGGGAAGGGAGTGAGGGGAGGACGGGAGGACGGGAGGGGAGGAGGACGAGGGATGATGGGATAAGGAGGAGGGAGGACGGGAAGGGAGTGAGGGGAGGACGGTGGAGGAGTGAGGGGAGGACGGATAGGGAGTGAGGGGATGGCGTTGAGGGAGGACGGGAAGGGAGTGAGGGAGGACGGTGGAGGAGGAGGGGAGGACGGATAGGGAGTGAGGGGATGGCGTTGAGGGAGGACGGGAAGGGAGTGAGGGAGGACGGTGGAGGAGTGAGGGAGGACGGATAGGGAGTGAGGGATGGCGTTGAGGGAGGACGGGAAGGGAGTGAGGGGAGGACGGTGGAGGAGTGAGGGGAGGACGGATAGGGAGTGAGGGATGGCGTTGAGGAGGACGGGAAGGAGTGAGGAAGGACGGTGGAGGTGAGGGAAGACGGATGGGGAGTGAGGGATGGCGTTGAGGAGGACGGAAGGGAGTGAGGGGAGGACGGTGGAGGAGGAGGGAAGACGGATAGGGAGTGGGATGGCGTTGAGGGAGGACGGGTAGGGAGTGAGGGGGATGACGGGGAGGGAGTGGGGATGACGGTGAAGGAGTAAGAGGAGGACGGGAAGGAGTGAGGGCAGGACGGTGAAGGAGTGAGGGCAGGACGGTGAAGGAGGAGGGCAGGACGGGAAGAGAGTGAGGCAAGACGGTGAAGAAGTGAGGCAGGACGGTGAAGGAGTGAAGGGAGGACGGGGAAGAGAGTGAGGGTGAGGAGGACGGTGAAGGAGTGAGGGCAGGACGGTGAAGGAGTTAGAGGAGGATGGGAAGGGAGTGAGGGAAGGACGGTGGAGGAGTGAGGGAGGACGGTGAAGGAGGGAGGGGATGACGGGTAGAGAGTGAGAGGTTGATGGTTAGCGAGTGAGGGGGTGACGGTTAGGGAGTGAGGGCAGGACGGTGACGGAGTGATTGGATGAAGGTGAGCAAAGGAGTGAAATAACGGGTGAGAATACTGATGAGTGAGGGATTGTGGGAGACGAATAGCAATTGATCAATCTTAAGAAAATATGAGTGGTGATTAAATCACAGTCACGTTGAGTGCAATCAGCATTCCGACGGAGTAACTATGTTGAACAGAAACATTTACGAAACGTACTTCCTGTAACAACTCACGCAATCGACCTTTGTGTTTGCATGAACTGATCACGTGGGGCATGTGTTATCTTGTCGGGCAAATCATTCTTATCCAGTTTACGAGGTTTACTTTCCTACAGATCAGGAATTAAGGTAAGCCAATTGCACATGTTGAAGTTTTCGTTTTCAAATCGAAGGGCCGATAACACGAGGCTAATCATTAACCATTGAATATTGTGTAACTGGTCAAGATGTTGCCAAGACTTTGGTTTCATCTGCGAAAACAGGTGTGTTACTTGAAAATTGCAGTAACCGTCCGAAACTCCACTACTTTTGGCTATCGTGCCACACCAAGATGTCACGAAACGCGATAATACTGAGATACTATACGAAAAGGTTATAGAAACAAAACGTCAGAGTAACGGTATTCACTCAGTACATAGTCATTGTCGCCCTTGTGATTGATCACAACAATAAAGGTACGAAATGTTATGCATGACAAATTATATGTTACAATGTGATGCTTCGGTACAGATTCCTATACCCTTGTCAAGGAACATCGATGAGAAATCTAGATTTTCAAACCAAATCTGTTACTGTTCCTGTAAAATTCTACGTTGAGGTTTCAAGCCTTGATAAATACAACATCTGTTTATCTAACATGTTTAAAGGGTTTGTTATCGTGTCTGCAGAGAGACACTCCTTGTCTAAATCGTAGATTATAATCCAGCTTGAGGACGACGTGACCTAAGGCATGTTGTTATTTTCTCTACGTTTCTTAATTATATCTTCATGAGTATCGCAATTTTACTCAATTGTCGAAGCGTATGCTTTACAATGAGTGATCGATGGTGACAAAATCTATAGCACATTCAGGTGGGATAAATCGGCATGAATAATGAGATCCATTGCCGAAAATGTATTAACATATTGGACACACATCAAACATATAATACACTGTTTCAGCTACTGTGACAAGATGCTGACAACGGGGATTTTGACGTGTCTACACCTTTTGGTATTGCCTATCGCCGAGTGTGAGTTTTGTTCATTATGCCAACTGTTGTATAGTACCAACTGTATTACTCTATCTTTAAGAACTTGCTCTGATGGAGACAGCAGCTTGGAGTGACTGAGTGAGTTTAGTTATACGCCGCTTTTAGCAATATTCCAGCAATACAATGTAGGTTCGTGCAGCGGAGACACCAGAAATGAGCTTCACACATTGTACCTGCATGGGGAATCGAACCCGGGTCTTCGGTGTGATGAGCGAACGCCTTAACCACTAGGCTACCCCACCGCCCCCATCAGCTTGGAAGACTTTCCTAACGTAATACTTTGTTTTTGTCCCAATTCTTGGACGTTAAAGCATACAGTTATAGGCCCATGTCTTAAACTGATGGAACACTTATAACTATTGGAACGCATGCCCTTTACTGACTGCAGTACTAACACATGCTAGTCACGCTCTAGAAGTGCTTTATTTCATTAAATATTCAAGATAATCTTTGATACTGTTTTCTTCAACAGCACGCCTGGCATGGACGCATAATGACTTTGATCCTGGGTACTTCAGGAATGGCATGCATAGTCCTTTCAACAGCGAAGATGTCAACGGCTCAGCAAAAGTAGTCCCGGATCCAGACGGAGGGTCCAACCTCGTCCTGAAAGTTTTTTACCAGAAGGGGAGGTACAGTCACCATGGACCAAACAGCAAGGTGCAGTTCTTTGCCACTCCAACTAAACCACGTGACGCCATGACCTTGAGCTATGACATACGATTCGACTCAAACTTCGACTTCCGCATCGGCGGCAAACTGCCCGGACTGTATGGTGGTTTGACAAACTGTTCAGGTGGAAGACACTCTATGAGCTGTTTCTCGACAAGGTTTATGTGGCGAGATAACGGGGATGGTGAAGTCTACGGATATGTTCCTGACCGATCACACCAACTCCCCGGCTTCTGTACGAGAAATATTTGTGATCCAGTGAAGGGCGTTTCTTTTGGTAGAGGATCTTGGCGGTTTCAACGTGGTGTGTGGCAAAATATAGCGCAATCGATTCAGCTGAACACTCCAGGGAACACGGATGGAGAGATTAAGGTGTGGCACGATGGAAAGTTGGTGTACTCAAACCACAACGTGGCGTTACGGTCACAAAGTGATGTCAACATTGACGGTATATTCTTTTCCACCTTCTTTGGTGGTAGCAACGCCACCTGGGCCCCAACACGTGATTGCTACACGTGGTTCAAGAATTTTTCCATCTCATTTGACACCGATCCTCAAATTGTGGTTGGGTGATTTGTTCCCTGCTGTCTTTATTTCAGCATTGTTAGAATATAAATGCAGAACTCCGATGTCTAAGCTTGTTTGTCTGTGGGCTGTAGCTTGCCTTTGAATGTCATGTGCATCATCTCTATTTCAGTCAGTTAATGAGTGAGTTATAATTTAAAGGTCACATGCAACCAAAAAATCAAACATAATTAAAACACAATTATCACTTATTCATGACATATCATATACATTGCTGGTTATGAAAAAACATATAAACAAAATTATAAGCGTACAATCGCACGTCAAAAGTGCAATATTGTGTACTTGGGTTTACTTCCCAAGAAACGAAGCAGCCGGGATACCGAACCCGAGTCAGAGCGGGTGGGTGTGCACTCAAGTGTAACGGCTGGTTCATTAGCAGATGCCCCCTTCCACGGCTCATTGTGTGTGTATATATAGAGATGTTGGGTTTTGTAAATACATGCTCATTTTTTGTATATAACATTTTGCAATCAACAGACATCATAACATGTCATGTGTTCAAGTATCACACCTGCCTGTCTGTGTAATTACATAATGTGATAGAGACCGAACTCGGGCCATAAATCAATGCGTTTTGTTTATGGCGTATAGCCTGATTGGTGTTAAGTTCAAATTGCATGTGGTCAGTGATCGCAGTTGTGTATTGAATATTGTCATTAGCAGACAGGCAGGCAGACACACAGGTGTCAATAAAACAAGACATTGAGTTTTGTCTGTGACAACGACAGATCTATATCACAGTTAAAAATTGTGTCAACGCTAAATAATGACATTGCTTTTAAGTATCGAACTGAGAAAGTGACTCGGTAAGAAGAACGTGTGGTGAAATAGACAACTGAAATTATATAAACAGTTTATTTACTGTCATAACAAAACGTCAGAGTAACGGTATTCACTCAGTACATAGTCATTGTCGCCCTTGTGATTGATCACAACAATAAAGGTACGAAATGTTATGCATGACAAATTATATGTTACAATGTGATGCTTCGGTACAGATTCCTGTACCCTTGTCAAGGAACATCGATGAGAAATCTAGATTTTCAAACCAAATCTGTTACTGTTCCTGTAAAATTCTACGTTGAGGTTTCAAGCCTTGATAAATACAACATCTGTTTATCTAACATGTTTAAAGGGTTTGTTATCGTGTCTGCAGAGAGACACTCCTTGTCTAAATCGTAGATTATAATCCAGCTTGGAGGACGACGTGACCTAAGGCATGTTGTTATTTTCTCTACGTTTCTTAATTATATCTTCATGAGTATCGCAATTTTACTCAATTGTCGAAGCGTATGCTTTACAATGAGTGATCGATGGTGACAAAATCTATAGCACATTCAGGTGGATAAATCGGCATGAATAATGAGATCCATTGCCGAAAATGTATTAACATATTGGACACACATCAAACATATAATACACTGTTTCAGCTACTGTGACAAGATGCTGACAACGGGGATTTTGACGTGTCTACACCTTTTGGTATTGCCTATCGCCGAGTGTGAGTTTTGTTCATTATGCCAACTGTTGTATAGTACCAACTGTATTACTCTATCTTTAAGAACTTGCTCTGATGGAGACAGCAGCTTGGAGTGACTGAGTGAGTTTAGTTATACGCCGCTTTTAGCAATATTCCAGCAATACAATGTAGGTTCGTGCAGCGGAGACACCAGAAATGAGCTTCACACATTGTGAGTTTATACTGTCATAACATATAAAAAGCTCGCGCCTGTGAGATATCAACAAAACATTATGAAAATAGCTCACACCAAAGCCTTCACCGAGCATTCACCGGACAGCCCGCTTCCAAGTTGCGCGAACCTACTTCACTGCGCACGTGCTATGAGCGCAGCCCAGCTGTTGAAACCAGTTTTCCCCAGAAAAGTCGGGGAAAAATTAGTGAATCGTTTGAACTCCGATTTCGCGCGGTTTTTTTCATCGCGTTATTTTTCAACTTTATAAGTTGAATTTGCATTTTGACGCTTTGTTTCGGTAAGTCCATACCGAAAGGTATCAGAATCTGCAAAGTTGTGTTTTACGTTGCATGTGACCTTTAATTAATCTTGTCAAAAGGAGAGGGCGTAAATGCATAGTTTGTTTTTGTTAGCAAGTATGGTACAATACTTATCAAAACAAGCTAGAGCTTTTGTCAATTAATTTGTCAAAAAGTGTGGCTAAAAACAGGCTATAAAACATGTTCACTAATTGACCATCAATGTTATGGTATGTCGAGGAAGTGTTGAGGCTCAATTAGAGCAGTGCAAACATGAGGATTTCAACTCCTTGTATAAATTGATTTTGGACTAAGGGTTATTCATTCGCTTCTTCCAACTGACAAGATGACCACCAACTGCAGGATTCATCTCCTTGTATAAACTGATTTTGGACTAAGGGTAAGTCATTCGCTTCTTCCAACTGACAAGGTGACCACCAACTGCAGGATTCAACTCCTTGTATAACTTAATTGTGGACTAAGGGTAAGTCATTCGCTTCTTCTAACTGACAAGATGACCACCAACTGCAGGAAATGTTATTTGGTAGTAAATGAAGGCCAAGAGGCAATCTCATATGATAAATGTGAAGGCTGGACACACAGACTCTGTGGAACTAGAGTGTCCCAGAAGAAGTATGAGGAAGCGGAGAGGACAGGTTCCCTTATACCTTCTACGTGCACTATCCGCAAAGAGATACCGAGGGAAAGCAGTCGCATTGCCCAATCATTTCATGAACGTGTGGAAAGCATGATGACAGAGATAGTGGGGACGGTTACTTTTGATGTCAATCTATCTGCAGTCGACAGTATTCCCGATGAAGGTACCCTTCACAGTGGAGACACGTAAACCCTCTCGGACATACTTGAAGAAGATGCTCAATAAAGGTAAAAACATTGAATATCTATAGCATCATTTACCTGTGATACATCACTAATTATCAAATAGTTGCAACAGTCTAGTAACAAACCACTACATATTTATTTGTATGTAAAGGTCAGTGGCGGAAGACAGCATCACTTCTGCCGTAGATGACATCCCTGAAGATGCAAGAAACACATGGAATGTCCTAGAAACAGGCTCTCAGAAGGGCAAGAGAAGACTGGTTGATATCTATGGATATATCTATGTTGTAAGGTTTGTATGTTTGTCAGCTTGTCATCTCTTTTATGTAAATATATTTTTGTTAATTGTATGTTGTATATTAGCCAGTGGCATTCCTGCATTATTACAGTGACTTTATTTTGTTTGGGTTTTTCCATTTTCAGAGAGAGAAAATCAAGCAGACTTGAGATGTAGTGTCCGCAACAAGAAGAACAGATGTCCTGCTACTGGCACTCAGAAGGGAACAAACTTCACACCAAGTAAAAGGGCTCACAGTCAGCTGCGACTATTGTGGAGGATGCGGTGACAACCATAGTACAGCCAGATGCTCCAAGTGGAGCTAGAGAGAACATGATCAGCTGACAAGGATTGCTAATAGAGCGCGGGAAAGGAATAGACCCAAGGATCCACGGGATTTGGATTTTGAGGTAATCTAACCGTCATAACTGAATACAACTCAAATGATATCTACTACCCTGAAGATAAATGAATATGAATATTTGGAAATTATATTTTCAGATTTCCACCACATTCATCCCTGTGGGCTTCTTGAAAGCGGACCTGACAAACAAGGAACAAAGGCACTTTATCCTCGCCACAGACCGCCACAGAACTAAGCAAGTCAAGACAATGGTTCTTGGATGGAACCTTCAAGGTGGTTAAACGGCTGTTTTACCAACTCCTCTCATCGGGCGTCCCTGCTCCCAACCAAGATCCTCCTGCTGAAGGAGAGCAAAGCGAGAGCAAGAATCAGGGGCCTATCAACCACAGCCCAGAAGGAGATCTTTGCTCTGTGGGTAGAGTTCAAGGAGGACCAAATTTCAGTTGAGCAGCTTCTGTCAAAAGTTAGCATCCCACCATACAGACGAAAATTAAAATGTTAAAACTGAAAGCAGGACATGTGATTTCCTGTATAATAAACTTCTGGATGAACATTATAACATCCCAGTTGACAAAGCTCTAGATTGTTTTGATAAATATTATACCGTACTTGTTATGATTACACAATGCCATTTGTTGACAAAACAGTACGCATTTACAGCCAATAAACATATACAAAACTTTCATTTTATACGTGTAATTCTTTACCAAATAATTGGTATTACAGTGTCTCTGCACGAATATTACTTTTGCACTTATCAGTTTCCAGAAAAATTATCAGAAATATTACCCGATATATTATATATATGGAAGTTGACAAAAACTATGCATTTATGGAATATATTTAACCATTTTAAATAAATTGGGCCATTTTGACTACCACTCTTGAAATTTTTGACCAAAAATCGGGGGCATTGTGACCAAATTTGCTGGGGCATTTTGTAGCTGGGGCGATTTGACTGGCACCCGATATGATTTGGGGCAATTTGACAAAAAATCCGGCGATTTGACTGGCACCCACTCTCCTATCTAGAGTCCCATGCGGCCAGCCAGCATGGTACCAGTACCATGCTAAGTCATCACTGCGTCCATCATTTTGGGCTGTTTCATCACAGAAAGGGTTAGGCCGAAAGTTTGGAGACTACTGGCAAGTGTAAGGTCCCAGCGATACAGAGCGAATGCGTTTTTTACAAGGACGGAAACGCATTTTTTTTAAAACTGATCTCCCAGTAATATTAGCATCCGTATTTCGGAAATAGATATATAGATCTGGGCAAGCAGAAGATGTCCTTCATTTGAAACACGCTCTGCTGATCACAGCTGGTGGCTTCATAATATCAGTTGGAACAATGCAGTCGACTACAGTCGACTTGGTAGTGTTCATCTAGGTGAGGTCTGTCAATATTTTAGAGCTGACGTTGTGTTGTCGACGTTCATCAGCTGATGAAGATAGTGATTCACGTGCGCCAATTCCATGATGCGATAACTATTGTCAATTCATTAACTCTCTGCTTGACGGACTACTTAGTCATGCGACATACTGAAATCGGGAAATGAACGACAGT